TACAACTGAATAGTAACTGAATAAAGTTTTGAATCTTTACTGTGCAGAATAATAATGCTGCTTTTAATCATTTTAAATGAAACCAGCACAGAACGTTTCCTTATTTTGGCAAAGCTTTTTCAAACATTTCCTTTCTTTAAAATTAATTTACATTTAACACAATACTGTACTGTGCTTGTGGGGTTTGGGGTTTTTTGTTGTTGTTGTTGTTGTTGTTCTGTACTGCTGCCTGATGGTGTTCTTCTGGTTCCCTCAGTTCATAACTCTGGTATTGATAAAACTGTAGTTCTATTATTTATGGAGATTCAGTAGCAACTCTAGGATCTGTTGTATAATGGAGGCAGCTTTTTTAAGGAAAGGTAGACATTAGTTTTCACAAAGTCTGAAGAAGATTGAAAACATTCTAAGATTTGCCATCCTGTCCTCTGCTTGTTTCACCCATAAAAAAGTCCAAGGAAGATCACCTGTCAAGGAGCAGGCCTATAATGTTAGGTTGGGGTTCAGGAATACCTGTTACTCTGAGTCAGAGCACTGAGGCTATGTCTAGATTATATCCCTCTTTTGAAAGTGGGATGTAAATTAGACATATTGAAATTGCAAATGAAGCCGGGATTTGAATTTCCCGTGCTTCATTTGTATAATCACGTCAGTGTTTTTTCAAAAAACATTACTTTGAAAGACAGATTCTTCCGAAAAAGGCTTTTCTTTTTGAAAGAACTGCGTCTAGACTGTGGTTTCACTTTCGAAATAGTGTTTTTCGAAAAAAAAATCATGACGTGATTATGAAAATGAAGTGCGGAACATTCAAATCTTGGCTTCATTTGCATTTCGATATGACTAATTTGTATCCGCCTTTTGAAAGAGGGATGTAGTTTAGATGTACCCTGAGCTTCCTATATATCAGCACTGAAGGAAATTTAAATGTTGAAGGCCTGAATCTGAGTGGATTTTTTAAATTTTAATTAAATCTATTCAGAGGAAAATGAAATATATTCAATGATATTACTTTACTTTTGGTAGTTATCCTCATGAAGAACATGGCCCTAGTCTGTCTTGATCATCTGTCTACATAACAAGTAATCATACACCATATGTACATAAAATGCAGGATAGAAAAAGTAAACTGAATCACTCTGTTTTATCTTACATTTTCAGAAAATGCTTTTTCTTTTTGAAAAGTATATGAATATTTAAAGTAAGTTAAGCCTGCAGCTCTTTGTCCCCTAATCTGTCTCCTAAGGCTGCACTCAGAGGTACATTTTGGACATTTGTTTGATTTAAAGAGTTGCTTTCAAATGCTTTTAAAAATCTTTCAATTGATAGCAGCTATGTTGGAAACTCCTAAGCTCCCTACTTAAATCTGAAAGCAGCTAATTGCCTACAGAGCATGGATTTGTGTGTGTGTGTCCGGGGTTGGGGGAGGGTAAGGGGGGTGTAGGATAGGAAGAAAGCAATTTTATATAGAAAACAAAGTGTAAAATAAAAACTAAATTACAAAACTTCTGAGTAGAAGTCCATTAATTGTTGTGTCCAGTTGTCCAAAGGTCTCAGTTCCACACACTTGTCATGCACTAATGGAATACTTAAATCTCTTCTCTTGTGTATTAATAATTAGCACCTTATTTGTAAATGTTCTGTTTGTTATCATTAGCATAACCTTTACAAAAAAATATGTAGCCATTTACTTTGAATGGACACTGCACCTATTCATCCATCTATTTTCATGATCTGTCACTTTTCAACAAGATGTCTGCTGTTTCTAGTATGCTCAAAAGAGCTCATTGAAATGTTAATGTCTTGTTTGTGCAGAGGTCACAAATTCATTACTATGAGTGTGTCTGCCTGCTTGCATCTTGGGGCAGAGCCAACCCATTAATCATTGGCAGCAGTGGAATACACACCCTTGGATTTCTCTATAGTTTTATCTACCTTCCAATTTTCTGCTGGAGGCAGATAATTTCTGACTAATCATTGGCTCAGTACTGTCTAATTCCCTATGCATCCCCCCCTGCATCCCTCTCCTGTTCTGCAATGTGATTTGTCCTTTTCATATTTGTTCATTTTTTTTAATTGTATCCTTTGGTATATATGGTTGTGATTACTTTCTTCCACTATTTGATCTGAGGAAGTGGGTCTGGCCCACGAAAGCTCATCATCTAATAAACCATCTTGTTAGTCTTTAAAGTGCTACATAGTCCTGTATTTTAATTCCCTATGTTGATTCCAGGCTGCATTTGCTATGGGGAAAGTGTCCCCTCTGCTCCTCTTCTTCTTGTGAAACATTTTGCAGTGGTTAGTGCTCTCCAGTATTCAAAATGATTGAGTTAGGCCAACTAGAGAAGAAAGAAAAATGGCCTGTTACCTGCATTATTAGGGTGTGTGTGCATGCGTGTGTGTGTGCGGGGGGAAGGGATGAGAGGGACTGGCCAGCCCTGTCTTCACAGTACAGTCTCCCTCACAGTACAGTCTGGGTCATGTTACCTAAACCTTACCTGGGCAAGAAAACAGAAAGGCAAATATGGAAAAGCCATCTCTGCTGGGCAATATCTTAGGCTGGATATGGTGACCTTAATCCCTTTCTCCCAATCTGGAAAGGAACTCGGAAAAGCAGCATGTAGGGGCTAGAAACTTGACTCTCCCCATCTCTGTGAGTGTAGTGACACCAGAAGGTTTGTACACCAGGTGACAGGTTGAGGTACTTGGCTTTATAACTCACACCAACATCTATATTTCTAGCTGCAGAATGCATGCTCCTCTCCCTGTAGATTAAGGAAAGAAGGCTTTAGACCCAGCATAGACACCGCCAATACTGGAGAGTGTGATAAGGGACTCTTTAGAAATTATTCCATTCTAATGCTTCTGCGTCTATATCTGAGGTACTTACTAATTTTCCAAACTATAGTGTCCAGGAGAAACGTGAGCTCAGCATGGTCAGGATGTTAAAATGTGATTATCTGCCTAATTGTATAGTCGATACAATTTATATCAACTATATGATTAGTCGATAAACGCTGCTGTGCAGAGCTGCAGTGGCGCTAGCTCCAGGAGCCAGCTGCAGAGCCACCTGCGCTGCTGCTTGCATTTTAAATGTAGTAAGAATCATTGGGCTCTTACTACATTTAAAATGCAGAGGTGCAGCAATCAGCATGAGCCATAACTGCTCGGTCCCAGCTCGCACTGAGTCTAGCAGCCCCTGTCAGTTGCCAGCCCTGGCTGCCACCAACAGGGATGGTGCCGGAGCAGCATCTGTCCATGGCGGCAACCGTGTACAGGACTCATGTATATTTCAAAATTAGAAGCACCAGCAGTAGGAACCGGCGCCAGTGGGGACAGAAGCAGTCCCTGCTCATGCCGTTTCCCTGCTGTGCCTTTGCCTCCCCTGCCTCCTGCAGAGAAGGTGCTGGGGGGAACTGCTTAAAGCCAGTTCCCCCCAGCACAGGCTCCTTCTCCCCCCTCCCTCCTTCTCCCAGATGCAAGTGTGGAGGATAAGCAACTAGTTGAGTGGTTACTCGACTATCTAGTCACTAACATCCCTAAATCGTGTGCAGTGGAAAGGAGTAGGACTTTAAAGAAATCATCCTAAAACCAATGCCTTCCTTGAGAGTCATCAAAAAGACCTATGTGGAAATGGTCTCTTGAGATTATTTAAAATAAATTTCCAACAATTTCTGAGCCCACTTTTATTCCACTCACACCCACCATCCTTCTGAAACAAGATTATTGGGATAGACTTCTAATAGACAATAATTTAAAATTAGCACTGTTTCCCCTATTCACCTTTCACAGAGTTCAACAGAAAATTTCAGGCTTTTAAACGATAGCTAACCTCAGTTGCCTCAGGGCTATAATCATGACTGCCAGCCAGCCATATCTGGTCATGCCAAGTCCATAGTTAACAACAGTGTTAAATAAGTGAAACATAGACTTCAGTTCCTCCATATTGTGAGTATTTGCAAGTGTGTAATCAAAAACTTCAATTTTCTGTAATATAATATTAATCAGCATATGAAAGGAATGGAAGTTTTATATAAATCCCACCATTAAGTACTCCCTTGGGGCAAGAACTCTTTATTCCAGAGTTACAGAGCACAACCTGGAAAACTTCCTTTACCTCCGTACAGCACCACCGGATTGAACCCTTGGAGGAGATGTCTTTTTAAAGTAAATCTGTCTTCAATCATGAGATCTCCCTACTTGAAATCAGACTGATAGTTCTCACTTGTCCAGAATATTCATTCCAAAAGTAAATGCGAGAGATTTTTTTCTTCTGTTAAGCTTGAAAGTGCAGTCCTTAGAAGAATTTATAATCTTGAGGAATCGATGTCCTGTGCAATACGTTAGATGACTGTTTGATCATATGTACATAAATTAACCAAAATTCAACGTATTGGTCCTTAGCTAATGCCATTTTGGGGCAGAACTGTTCTATATGCGTTAGAACCTAGAGGAAACATATAAGTGTAGGACTGAAAGGGACCTCCATAAGTCATCGAGTCCAGTTAGGTATAAAGTGGGGAGTGGCGACTAAAGAGAGATGCTTGCAAATCTGTGGATATCTGCAAACTTTGTGGCTCATGGATGAATACGGATGTACATTTTGCATCTGTTCAGAGCTCTCTCTAATATAATATACTTAATCTTGGATGCAGGCCCGGCCCTAGGACAAGGCAAGCAATGCAAATGCTTTGTGCCCCTTGCTTTTGGGGCCCTGCGCTGCTGGGTATTCACCATCCACAAGCTAGGCCTGGAGCCCTGCTCCCAGCATCCTGCCTTGGGTCCCGCAAACCCTTTTGCTGGGTCTGCTTGGATGCCTGATTCTGATCTTTTTTCCTTTGATGCAAAGGAATAACTACTTTGAAGTTAGTGGAATCATACCACAATAAAATAAGAATCCATTATGAGTTATCCCGTTGATGTTAACTCCGTAAATAGAACTGAATTATGTTGACATTTGTATTTCATTTGTAATGTGAGGTATATTTGCTTTTTATATTTTGTAGATGCACAGCCAACAGATGGAGAAAAGGAGGTATGGAATCAGATCAATGCAGTCTTACAGGATTCTGAAAGCTTGCTTGCCGATCTTCAGGCTTACAAAGGAGCTGGACAAGAAATAAGAGATGTATGATAATATAGCAATGACAATTCTCTTGAAGAAAAGATCAAGTAATAGCCTGCAGTATTTATTTCTACTTTGCATGCAGACAGTTCACAAAAGATATTTTGTTAAACATAGTCAGTAAAACTACTTATAAAATACATTGGATTGCTTTAACTCTTTCATTGACTCAGAGGTGTAGCTGTGTTAGTTTGTAACTGAAAAAACGAAAACAACAAATGGTCCTGCAGCACCTTAAAGACTAACAAAAAATATTGATAGTATCATGAGCTTTCATGGGCTCAACCCACTTCTTCAGATGATTGGAGCAAGGGGTCTTTCAATGACACCTATTGTGCTGCCACTGGTGTTTCATTTAAACATCTTACTATTAATACTTTGCTTCTCAAAAACACAGTTTATGTACCTTTATGGAGGAGTAAATCAATATGCCTATTGAGAAAAATATTTAAATATCATTAAGGCTCTGTAAAATCAGAAAATGCAAAATAGTTTCTGATCTATGTATAGTTTCTGTATTCTATGTACTGTCAAATGATACTATAAAATACACTAGTTACAATTCCATATGTATTCCTTAAGCTTCTGAAGTCCTGCAACTATCTGCTAACATTCAGAATTTGTTTTTCTTCTTTTAGCTTTCACTTGACCTAGGCTGTTTGCGAAGATAGGTGTGTCTGTCTTTTACATAAGATATTCATGGTAATCATTAGTGAGAGCAGTTAGTTACTTAACAGCCAAAATCTAAAAGTAGTGGAACAACTCCCATTCACTGTGTAATGATAGAGCTTTGACCTTGTAAACCTCTTTTAGTGTGAATTTAGTACAAGTGACCCCTGTTAATGTTTCTACTGTGGATCCTTTCATCTAGAAGACCATTCCAAAGCATGTTCCTTGATGTGGGTGTTGCATTTTGAATGAATAGTTTAAAAATAGTTCCCAGGACCTCATTAAATGGTATTGTTTCTATAGCAGCTGAAACAGATGTCTTGATATTTTTGTTTTGCTCTTTTTTTGAAAAAGCCCTTGACCTAGTATTTTTTCCTTTTTTTTCCCTTTTATCCAACAGCTTTTTTCCCCTTATAGTTCTAGATTTATTTTAAGAAATATTATTTTAAACCTACCATACCCAGAATCTTCCTGTACCTGTACATCCACAAGAGCCTGGTTTTTTTTTTTTATCCCAGTGTCCTACAACTATTAACAGTAATATTGTCATTGCAGGCAATACAAAACCCAAATGATATCCAACTTCAAGAAAAAGCTTGGAATTCAGTGTGTCCTCTGGTTCTGAGGCTGAAGCAGTTTTATGAGTTTTCAATTAGGCTAGGTGAGTTACTCTGCATTTGGTTTAACAGAATTTTTTATATATGCAAACATCCAAAGATTTTCTCTTTCTGAAAGCTTAGAGAGTTGAATAGTAATCCGTACCACTAATTTGACTTACAGTGCCTAGATTTCTCTTTTCTGGGAAGACTGTAGATTCTGTTTGCACAAATCTGAACGCAAATTTATCCTGTTGTAATTTTTCCACTTTATTAAAAGCAGCATGAAGCCACATACTTTAACATGTTAAGTTCTGGCCAGCCCTTGAATATGTTTTCACTATCAGTATTGGTTAATTTCCTGAGTTAAGGGTCTATAAATAACTGGGAAAGGAGGTCTGGGTTAGGACTCCTATATGGAATGGGTAACAAATATGGACAACTGTCATGTCCACCTGGCTTAGGTTTGCTCTCCCGAAGCCTGTGTAGGAGATTATCCCTGCATCCTGTATTGCCAGACTCCACACTTTGCATTTGTAACCCTCAGGTTGGATCCCAGTGACCTTGGTGACTAACGGTAAATTATTTTTGGCAGAGGTCCCAGAAGCATCTTTGTATTGAAGGGGGATGGTGACCATTATGGGGAAAGAATGGGAAAGGAAAGGTGGATGAACAGTCTGAGGAACTCTGTGAAATATATCTTAAGTATTTGCGTATGGGGAATTGTGGTCAAATATCAGGGAGGTGGAAGATCTTTTTTGAGAGAGGAGAGAGAATAATAGGATGATGTGAATAATTGTGAGTGATGACAGAGAGTGAGGAGCCACTGTCTTTGTTTTCTCTCATATCTCATTTTAGATTCCTAAGGACAATTACTAATTATGTCCTTAGGTCATCTATGACCTGTGGAGCCCTTCCTCCTTGACAGAATTTTATTTAAAAATCAATTTACAAACATAGCTATATAATGGCATAAAGCATCAAGATAAAATGTGACATTGTTTCTAAAATGCAGAAGACTTGAGTTAGTGCACTGTTTATGCGGGCTTTTTAATCTTCCTTAGAGAAAGCACTACAGAGCTTACTGGAATCATTGACCTGTCCACCCTATACTCCAACTCAACACCTAGAACGAGAACAGGCTCTAGCCAAGGAGTTTGCAGAAATCTTGCATTTTACTCTCCGCTTTGATGAGCTTAAGGTTAGAAATGTTTTTTACATGTACACTGAAACATTTCCTTGTATTTTGAAGTGTTGAATACTGATTCTTTTTATCCATTAAGATGAGAAACCCAGCCATTCAAAATGATTTCAGTTACTACAGACGGACAATAAATCGCAACAGAATAAACAATATGCATGTAAGTAAATGGAACTTGGAAATTTTGTTTGCACTCTGAAGTTCGTAGATGTGCATTCCCACCATTGATGGCATTTTTTTTTTTTTTTGGCTTGGCTTACATGCTATCTACATTAAAACCACATTGTCAACTCCTTACATTGGTGAGCACTCCAGTTAAATCAAAAAAGTTGTATCTTTGGCTGCAATGAGTACATGTATTCATTTTATTTGTTTCTGCCTGCTGGTAACATTTTGAAAAGTGTCATTTATTAATTACTTGTTCTTCATGTTTTCATCAGATAGACATTGAGAATGAGGTAAATAATGAAATGGCCAACAGAATGTCTCTGTTTTATGCAGAAGCCACGCCAATGCTAAAAACTCTCAGCAATGCCACAACATGCTTTGTATCAGAAGTAAGTGCTAGAAAATAGTGCAAAAAACTTAACTTTTCATTGTACAAGTTGGTTTAATGATTGATTTGTGTTTAACTTTTCTAGAACAAAACCCTTCCGATTGAGAATACAACAGACTGTTTAAGTACTATGGCCAGTATATGTAAAGTCATGTTGGAAACACCGTAAGTTATTTATTCCATTTTTTTTGGTCAGTTTAAGTAGCCATGAAGTATGTCAGCAGTTTTTTGAAACCTAAATCTGTATGTATACTGTAAATTAATTCTTAGATTTTTTTAATAAAGCATCCACCCTAGTAGCATATAAGCAGCCTTGCCTCCTATCTTGACTTGTATGAATATTTCTCATTAATAAATTACCATTTTTGCCCAGGGAGGTTCTCAGCAAAGTGACAGATTTGGTACTACTGTGTGGGACTACTTTCATCCATAAAGTTATACACATACTCTGTTTTGCCTGATTGGAAGTCATTGGACATTTACTTAGAAGATCCACATCTTCTGAATGGGGAAATCTTGGTATAGTTTATATCACAAAACAAGATATTTCTCTGTGAGCTGTGCAGTTTGTATAGGTAAACTGATGGCAACAGAGATATTTATGGAGAAGTGTGTGTGTTGGTTTTTCTTTCTTGATCAGTAATCTTGTCTAAATATAATCACCATTTTGCTGTAAACCAACCCAGTTGTGATGCTTGGCCAATTCTACCTTCACTGCAACAGTTCATATAAAAAGTGTATCTAAATAGAAAGCGCAGATGAACTTTAACAAAAAAAAAATGTCCAAATGCTCCTCTGCTTTGATGTCTATAAAATGGCTGTACTGACACCATCGCTTATGAAGATGATTATAGTCACTTGCTACATTGTGCTTTTCTCCCCTCCACCAATTTGTATTCATTTCCAGTCAGATTAAAGCAATCTTTGAGCTAGAAACTAGGGATGTTAGATAGCAGGTAATAGAATAGTCGACTCACTGCACAAATTCTTACTAGTTAGTTGACTATTCGATAGTCCCTGGGGGTGAGGCCGGCAGCCAGCACAATCCGGCCCTATGGAGAGCTCCCTGCCACTCTGTGCTGCTGCTTTTGTATCAGAGGCTGCAGCATGAGGTGCCAGGTGGGAGCTGGTCCACGAGCGAACCAAGTTTAAAAACAACTTCCCTCACGGACTGGTTGCCTGCCACACCACGCTGTTGTCTCTGATACAGAGGCTGCAGTCCGGCGTTGGCACCAGTCCCTTCCCCACCCCCTTCCACCGTGCAGACAGAGGCTGCTGGAGTTGGGGGGAGGGCAGGAGAGGCTGCTGTGAAGTAGCCTCTGTCCATGGTGGCTTGGGCTGGCTGCAGACAGAGGCTGCTCCAGCAGCCTATCCACAGGAAATTCAGACACCCTCCGCAGTACCGTCAGGATAGGAGATGTAGGAGAAAGAGAGCCTGAAGCATGGGGTTGGTGCTTGAACCAAAGTAAACAAAAGTTATACACGTACGTCGTCTTCACTTCATGACGACACAACCATGCCCTCATCACCAGTCAGTGGGGATGATTTTCGGTAGCGTTAAGATCTTTTAAAGAGAGTCACTGAGACTTTAGATATTTCGCTGTCTGACGTGCCTCAGACACAGTATAAGCTGACAAACATTCTGAACGCATCTCCCCAGGTAAAATTGTCAATCCCCATGAATGAGATGCTTATGGACTCTGCTAAAAACATCTGGCAAACACCCACCACAATCACACCAACCTTCAAGAGGGCTGAAAAGAAATGTTATGTTTCCCCTAAGGGAGCAGAATTCCTCTTCTCCCACTCCACATCAGACTCACTGGTTGTTGAAGCGGTCAATCAAGGAGGGAAGCAGCAGACCACTCGTACCATCCCCTATGACTGGGATTGGAAGAGGCTGGACACAGGAGTAGTTTGAGGACGTCTGTGGCAGCTAGCGCCACAGGCAGCCGGCGCAATTGGCACCCCCGCCTGCACGGCCGTCAATGGCTATGATGTCATCATCAGGCGCCCAGGCCAGCGGCGCTCTAGGCAACTGCCTAGTTTGCCTAGGCTCACGGGCCATCCCTGGTTGGACACAATGGGGAGGAAATCAAATTTGTCAGTGAGTCCAAATTTGTCAGTGAGTCTTCAACTCAGAATAGTTAACTATGTGGCATTACTGGCAAAATACACACATCACCTTTTCGACCAGTTAACATCCTTTTTTTCACTCCCAGACAACAAAAAAATAGGTCTCTCTCTCTCTCTCTCTCTCTCTCTCCCTATCTATATATATATATATAGTGTGTGTGTGTGTGTGTGTGTATGTATGTATAAAAATAACACTGGAAGGGACCTCGAGAGGTCATAGAGTCCAGTCCCCTGTCCTCACGGCAGGACCAAGTAACATCCTTGACAGATTTGCCCCAGATTCCTAAATGTCCCCTTCAAGGAATGAACTCTCAACTCTGGATTTAGCAGGCCCGTGCTCAAACCACTGAGCTATCCCTCCCCTCCCAAAAAAGGAGCAGTTATAAAAATAACACTGGAAGGGACCTCGAGAGGTCATAGAGTCCAGTCCCCTGTCCTCACGGCAGGACCAAGTAACATCCTTGACAGATTTGCCCCAGATTCCTAAATGTCCCCTTCAAGGAATGAACTCTCAACTCTGGATTTAGCAGGCCCGTGCTCAAACCACTGAGCTATCCCTCCCCTCCCAAAAAAGGAGCAGTTTAAGATCAACATTAAAGAGAGCACACTAATATCATGAATGGTCCCTCCAGGCAGCATTTGACTCAGCAGATACAGCTGCCAGATCCCTGGCCTTCGCAGTGGTGATGAGGGGGTGGTGTTGGCTCCAGCTCTCTGGCTTTCTGAGAGAGGTCCAGTCCACAGTACAGAACCTGCCCTTTGTGGGCACTAAGTTATTCGCAGAGTCTTTGAACACCTCACTACATACCTTGAAGGACTCCAGAGATACTCTGAAAACTTTAGGCATCCACGTGCCTGCCACAAAAAGAAAAAAAAAAAGGCTGTTCATTCACTAAGAGATACCGACCAGCACCTTTCAACCAGCAGCAATGACACTATAACAACAGATGTTGACCATTCCAAAACATAATATTGGATGGACTAGTCTCAGGCCTCTTTACTGCTTAATTCATTTTTCACCTTCCAGATTATGATGATTTCAAGAAATAACTGTTGTAGTGACAGTTTAACTTTGCCATCCACATACTGAGGCTGCCATTTATAAAGCAAATGAACTCTTAGAAATCTGAGAGTTATCTGTTCACTACTCATATTTAAATAGGAGTAACATTACTTTGAATTCCTATTGTTTTGGAAATGAATTATGAAGATATATAACCTTTTATAACCTTCCATATCTTTGGAGATCTCAGGTAAAAGTCCAAGATTGATCATTTGATAAAGGCAATAATATGACCTTTGAAGAAGTAGTAGAAAATCAGTTTTCTGGTTTTTTTCTCTGTAAATTGCTAAGTTGATGATTCAAGGATCATTACTCATGTTGGTTTCCTTAAAACTTACCGATTTACACTTTTAACACTATTACATCAGATCTGAGATTTCCTTGCATTGATACTCCAGTTTGAGAATAAAATTCTCCTGTGAAACACGTGAAAGAATAAAATTGTGCTATACAGTATCAGTCAAGATTAATTTTTTTTATTTTGCAGAGAATACAGAAGTCGGTTCACCAGTGAAAAGACTCTTATGTTCTGCATGAGAGTAATGGTGGGCGTTATTATTCTCTATGATCATGTTCATCCTGTGGGAGCTTTTTCAAAAACATCAAAGATTGATGTAAGCATAATTTACAAAGAAGATCTTTTTAATGGAAAATTTTGGAAAATATTTATCTACAGATTTCTTCCATGAAGTTTAGGCTTTTATACCAATCCTTTGCAATTGTTTTTGAATCCTGTCTGACACTAGTGTTCATTTGTCCTACTTTAAGCCAGTTCTGTTGCTTTGCTAGCAGTTCTGTTACAGTAAAATAACTTGTGGTATTGACATTCTGTGTGTTTCTTTTGTCATAATTTCTCTTTCACTAACCTTGTAATTCATCAGTTTTAAAACTCTCACTTTTTTGTCATTGTTTCTAATTTAAATAACCAGCTCTTTTGTGTAGTTACTATTTTGGTTGAAACCCAAACTAAGCCTAAAGTGTATCTCTTTCATGCTAATGTAAGCTTTCAGCTAAAGTTTTAGTGAGCATAGTCATGAAGTGAAATCAACATTTAAGGTTATATATTCGAAAGTACCCAACTGTTTGCCCAAAGTTTTTTCACAAATTTAAATCAACAATCAAGTAGCTAATCTTCAACACAATTAAACTGCAACTGACAAAAACGTTTTCCCTATCAGTCCCCTCTCACATAAACTGACTACTTTCAAAAAATCGTGTATATACTTTTCTTATACTATTGATATAGTTAGCTTTTTAATATGCTTTAAATACTATTTGCTGACTCCATATTACACTGATGAAATTGAGGCATAATAGGGGAATTTATGTTCTCAAGGTTACAAAGTAGGTCAGTGTTAGAGCTATGACCAGGTTTCCTGATTCCAGTGGATCATGCTGCCACAAAAATAAAACACTTGAAATGTTGCCAAAAGCCCCATTGTATGTTACCTTTTGTAATATATATGATTGTTTCACAATGCAGTTATCAAATGAAGGGGGCTCTTTGTGTGTTTTGTAATCAAATTTATAAGAGTGTGGACAGTTAGATATGCAAGTTAGTATGCAAAGGGGACCCATATGCTATCTTCATTTCAAGTGTAAAGTGCATGTCCAAGCATGAATATGTCCATTATTTCATACTGTTCTATTCAAATGAAGTCAGTTTTCTGCAGAAGGCAATTCTCCTCTAAAAACCAGTAATCTTTTGGGGAAAGTTTTGGAGCACCCTACAGACAGTGGAGCCAATGAGCCCTTTCTTATCCTCTAAGTCTCCTAGCTTCTGAATGTTTCTGTTCTTGAGAA